CTGCCCAGGGAAGTGGTTGAGTCTCCATCCCTGGAGGTATTTAAAGAACGGATAGATGTGGTGCTCGAGGACATGGTATAGTGATGGACTTGGCAGCGTTAGGTTAACGGTTGGACTCGATGATCTCAAGGGTCTTTTCCAACCTTGATGATTCTATGATTCTATGATTCTAAGTCAAATGTGCTAATGATTCACAGCTCCTTTATCTTCACTTGCACATTATTTGAGCAATGATTTTCTGGGATAAACTTAAGGGCAGGAAAGACTGCCTGGTCAGTTAAAAAACGGGTGTGAAATCTTCCCATTTTTCTGCCACATTTACTACTTATGAGCACGAAAACATATTTATTATTAATATGAAAGCATTTAAAGTATTGGAGGGGAGTTAATGCATGTGCCAACAGGAGGCCAACAAGGAGAAATGGAAGAATGACCTCTTTGTTTTGAGGGAAGAGAAATTATAACTATATGGCTAAAGTTGAGGGGTCTGCAGGCCAATGATGAATTCTTTGCCCTGTTAAGGACAGAAGGGCCAAGATACTACAGAGGTGAGAGTCTTCCTTGGGTACCTACTGTATCAGGAAGGGAAGTGTTGCAAAGTTCATGAAAAGGACTGCCCAGCACCACTTTGACTGTGTAGGTTAGCTGGTACATCTCCGTCAGCACTGTTTCACCTACTGGCTTTCAGGGAGTAGATTCTGTCTAGCTGTTGTGGAGGAAAGATCCCTCATTTGGAAAAGTCTTGCAGACCGTACTGTTTCGTCCTGTCTGCATCCTGCTGATGCATTAATGTCTTCCGTAGATCGCCTGTCAGCAGAGTGTTGGAAGCCTGCTGAAGTGGAAGCTCCCTGTTCAGGCAAAAACGTCGGCCCCTGTCGTTGGTACAGTGTAACGCACAAACCTGTGAGTTACTATTTCTGGTGGGAATTCTTGGTTCTCTTTTAACAGTTGCTGCCTCTTTTCCTGTGACTAGCAACTTCCATAGCACAGGAACTAATCAGTAAAAGACTAGTTGTGTGATTCCTCCTCTTCCTTTCTGACCAGCTTTTAACCAGTGTCATCCTGCCCTTCGGACGTGCTTGTAGTCACTTTGTGCTCTTCTAGTCCTTTATGGGGCTGCTCTCCTCACCCTTTTTTTTCCTTAATAGTTTACTTGGAATTCTAGTATATAGTTGGCAATGGTCAAATTAAGAAAGGTCTGTACAACACAGGTGCTTCAGAGGAGCAGCAAAGTGGAAAACTACTTTATGATCTAACTAAAGGAGGAGGAAAACACCAAAGACTGAAGGAATAACATCTTAAAAAAAAGGCCACTTCTGTTTGTTTGTTTGTTATCTGATTGGCTAAGTATCTAGGAAAAGATGAAGTTTCTTTATTCTGTGTTCAAAACCAAGGGAAGTTGGATCTTTAATGTGGTCAACAACTGCCTTTGATACTCGAAAGGGTTGCAGTGGCATAGAGATTCAGAAATAAGACTAATTTGTCTCATAACAAATCTGTTGTTTTTGTAACACACATGCCTTCCTATATTTAAGATGCCTGCAGATGGCTGGGTTATCTGCAGCTCTTGTCTAAAAACGTTTTGGAGCTTCCTGCATCACAGAGAAACCAAATACTTGTTTGCCTTGGAAAAAACTGGTTTCTCAGTGATCTGTGAAATGCTCATTCTGAGAGCTTCTCTCTTTCATGCTGTATTACGTACATATCCTCAATGGCAAGCCTATTGTAAGAACAGAGATACAGAGGATATAAATGGCTACCATTTAAAATGGTAGCAGATAAATTTATTGAGCTTTGTACTGCAGGAGCTCCGTTTGGTATAAACTGAAAGGTTACATTCCATCTCGGTTTTGATTCCGAATCCCAGAAGAAGCCTTAGCAAAGCTCTAGTTAAATAGTCGTCTGGTTACAAATCCTCTAAGTTGCAGTCAAAAAGAAATCACTTGTTAAATGCGTGTAATCCATTTACTTTTCTTTGTAGGCATATGAGGAATCAATTCTGCACATTCCAGTGGGGCTCAGGCAACACAGTTCCTTAGTGTGTGTCGTGACTCTTCTTGCCACGGTGCTCTGCTCCAGTCTGGTTCTTGCAGCTGTGTGCAAATACGGACACTTCTCCCCAGTGACCTGCTCAGAATAAAGAAATACAGAATGACTGACCTCCATCCAGCAAAACTCACTGAATATTACATCAGCTTCCTAAATGAATCCTACTCTACTGTTATTTATATCTTGCTAATCCACAAGGGTCCCATAATGGGTTATAGTTCCCTTGGCCTAATTCTTACAAACACCTTTCACCCATAGAAGACTGTTTTGGTGCGTTGTCAATAGACAAAGCAGGTGGAGGGTAGGAATAGCGCTGCAAAAAGCTGGGAAGACTGCCACTGTCTTGGTTCCGATTCCCTCCCCTCGGCCCAGAGCCTGCTTTGACTACAGTGCTGCCTCTTGCAGAGGTGTTTGTATTTCTTGAATTTAAACCGACTCAGGGATTGGTTATTACTTATTACTTCATACCCTTGTATGAAAAGCATTATCTGACATTAAATTTTCTGAATTTTAAGCTTGTTTACACTGTCCGGATGGATTACGCGTGAATTTGTGAAGACACATTCTGTGCTTACCTGGGACAGGAGGAGGATTAAATAATGTCTCCCATTCTAATAACTGGGAGGGATTAGCTGCTCTTGGTCAAATTAGCCGGAGCTGAAAGAGTTTAGGAAAATTTGAAAGAAATTTCACCCTATTTCAGAAGTGGAAAGAGTAACCCTTGGAAGACGAAAGCTGGTGAAAAGATATTAACTAGAAGCAAATATTTAGACGACTTGCATTCAGCCATCAGAACAGTTGATAAATACAAGGAAATGGAGAGGAAAGTACTTAATAGAAAACCTGAGTTTCTCTGGATTGACAGAAGAGCTCGGTTGCTGTTTCTGATTGTCAGTAGGTGGCATTGTGAGCTTATGGTAACTACTGGAGACTGTTGGTTGAGAAAATAGATTTTATTCCCTATAAGCTGAGAGTTAAGTGAGTAAAATCAGGTGATTTTGGGAAGTGCGTGTGTGAGGGGGATGAATGAAAATTCTGGTTTTCAAAATCTGACCTCCTTTTGAGGGCTCTGTGTGCAGCCGAGACTTCTCATCAGCAGAATCAGCCTTTCATCACTGTCCAGCTGTAGCTTCAGGATCCCTTGGGCATCTTTCTTCTGCTTCTGCTGGAATTCAATAGAGAGCTCGTCTTGTGACTTCGCCCACGACAGGTTGGCAAGTGCTCTGACACTGGGCTCTTGTTTTCCCTTGACTGTGCTGAATGATGATGGCTGCGCCAGTACTTCATCCACTACCTCAGAGGAGTCATGCACTGCATCTGCTTGGGGGAAGGGAGAAATTAAAGAGAACAATTGCAGAGAGATTTGGCAGCCTGTTTAACCACATCAGCGCAGCAGGGCTGTGGACCAGTATTGTTATGCTTGTCTCCGAGTGGGATTCTTAATTCCCAGAGTTTAGTTTGTTCTTGTGCTCTCTATCTCTTATGCAAGGTAAGTAATTTTGTGTTGCAGTCTGACCCTTGGAATGGCAACATCCCAGATCAGCACTCAGCTCTGGCAGGTCTTTATCGCCTGAAAGCTCAGTTCTTTTTAACATCAGATAATACCAGTTGAAAATCACAGGTTGAATTCCTTAGCTAAAACAGGCTGCCTGATATCATAGCCTAGTGAAAGGAAATGGTAGTTTCCTTGTGACAAATGAGGAAAAATATTGCAAGTGACAAAATATATGAGTGGATGATTTGGAAATCTGTAGAAGTGAGGATGTGAGAATGGAAACCCACATTAGTGGTAGATGCCATAGGAGAAACTGAGGCAGGAGGGGCTTGAATTACAGGGGGCTTAGCACTGTCTGTACTAACCAAATAGTTGACTTCAGAACAGTTTCAATGTGCACTAATCAGTTTGGCTGGCATGTGGCTCACTAAGTGTATCTAAAATCATCAAGATCCCACCAATAAGCTTTTCAGCTAAACTTGAGTAATACTGATTCTGATTAATATAAAATACAAGAGAAATCGCAGAACAACTCAGTGGATGTTTTTTGTTACAGCAAATATTTGCTGTTTTTAAATCCATAGCATTTGTATTATAGTAGACAAGCTTTTCTTTAAAAGCTGTAAATAACTAATCACTATTGTCGTATTAAGTACAAAGGTATTTGCCAGTTAAACTTTCTCTTCCATACCAGAAAAGACTGTCATTAAGCAAGCACTGCATTTAGCAGGCATGCCCTGATGGTGTGCCAGACACAGGAGGATGCAGGCACCGGCCCTACAGGGATCACTGGCAGATACAGAGGGTGAGCCGTAAGACAGTTGTTTCCCTGTGGAAAAATTCTGGCAGCTTTGGAGACAGAAATGAGGTGGCTGTGAGTTGTTAGCAAGAGAACATAGATACAAGGGTTGGACACAAACCTGTTCATCATTAATGTGTGTAAGGACCGAATCAGAGCAATGAAAGGAAAGGGGGAGGGGCAGGGGCGTTAAAGGCCATGTTAGGGGTTAAGACTTTCTGAATCACAAATGAATGGGTATAACAAAAAAACAAACCAAAACCCCCTCCTAGTTTGTTTAAAAAGATGTGCCTGGGGAGGGAGACAGGAGAATGGGAGGAGGGTAAGGATTCTGAAAACGGTTTGGAGCAGGACCCAAGTGGGTTTAGGGGTACAAGGCTGAAGCAGCAAGGAGAAGTAAGGTCACTTACTTAAGGTCACTTCCCTAGAAGGGAAGTAGAGCTGAGGGAAGTGTGAAGTTCAGAAATCTGCTGTGGTTTCTTGAGAGGTACATGCAGAGATGAATTAGCAAAAGTTTGATCCTGGGAGGATCAAACAGAGTTGAGTCAGAGTGGGAGAGTGACAAAGCAATATGCAAAGCGAAGTGAAGACGATGGCCTTGCCCGCAGTAGGAAGCGGGCCAGAGCACTCTCCAGCAGCCACAGCAGGGCCAGTTTGGGGGAAAGGGGCTGAAATAAGGCAGGTCTGTAGGGACAAGTTCTCTATGACTGTTCACTCTGCAGTAATTTTGTGCAGAGCAAGAGAGAAGATTGCCAGAAAGCATTGGCTGAAAGCAACAGAAGCTGGAAAGGCTGATTTGCACTCTTTGTCCCAGGACCTGCATGGAGGTTTGAGGACTTAGTGGAAGCCTGCTACTTTCTCCCTAAGACTTTTATGAAGAGGAGCTGCCTGATGCGTGTCCTTCTCCTTCTGAAAGAAAAATCAGACATTGCTTCAAGCCTGGACTGACAGAGGAGGTGAGGTCCAAGCTGCAGGGCAGGTGGGTGTTTGGGGAGGTCATCTTGAGGATTAAACGTATCACAGGAACCTGGGGGAGAAGTCTTTCTCAGCTGTGTTACTACTGCATCTCTTGGAACCTGGGCATCTGAGCAGTGGCTTAGGTCACTGATGGTAGGAAGCAGCAACACGGAAAGCCGCTGTGTCCTGCTGCTGTAGCTAATGCATGCTTGCTTTCACCGGCAGCGCTGAACCCTGAGCCATGTGGACGTCTGGACCTGAGAAGTTGGTGGGAGAAGGGTTAATTTGTTGTCAGCTGTGTTAATACAAAAATGAGCCCCTTCCAGTACCTTCAGGGTGAGAGGAAGAGCAAGCATAGCCCAGGGGAGGAACGTGAAGCATGACCATCTCCATGCTCTCAGACACCCTTCCCAACCTCCTGGTCACAGCCTGAGCGGGGCTGTCACCCATTACCTCAGTGAGCCAGGATGAACCTCGAGGAGATGCTGAAACACAGCATGAAGACCCCATGCATGGGTTTTCCTCACGAAGTGAAGCATTAAGGAAATAATCCCAAAATTTAAATATGAGAAGATGGAAGCAAGGGGTGAAGAAGAGCCAGGTCTGCCTCTGTCTGTTTTTCTAGGGCGGTGGGCTTTTGCCGCTGCAGCTGGCATATAGATATATATTAAAAAAACCCACAACAGGTGACATGACCTGAAACCAGCACCGCTGTACCGGGCTCTCCTGGGCCAAGTGAGCGGCGGACTACATCTCCCGCGGACCCCGGCGCGGCGGCGCT